GACAAGAGGTTTTAAAGGGGATATGACTACTTACAAGAAGCCAGTCTAAAGCCTCATGACAGATTAAAAAAATAAACGACACAGACCTGTGTGTGCAAAACTCATATTTCTTAATTTTCTAAAGAAATTAAAATATCATTCAAGCAGTAGCTAAACACCCTCTACAAAAATACAAAATTAAAATAATCCTATCAATAAATCCCTTTCATTACAAGCATCTGCTTTTCTAATCTTATTTTGAATCAAATGTCTTTTATATGCAATAGATCATGACAAATCCATTAAACTTCTATAAAAATCTCAAGCAAGGCATGCCTTCCACTACTACTTGAACCCTCATTTAGCTTTAAATACTCTTTTTTGTATGTAGTCAATTGGAATCATATTGTCTAATGCCTGTATGAAAAGTCACTAGACTCTTCTGTGTCAGTAAGTACTGGAAGCACTCAGCAACCAATGGCCTAAATTAGGTACTCATGTCATGATTACATCAGTAGAATAAAACTTTCAGCACAAGAATAATTTTAAAACAAACCAGAAAAAAAATAAAAAAAAAATAACTCCAACTGAAAAATATCAGAAGCCATGTGGTGTGCCCACCTTTCCTTAAATACATCCTATGTTTTTCTCAAATAGACTGATGATATAAAAATGATGCAGTTAACCAAACTGCAATCTAGTATCTTCATCAGCATCTGAAATGCACAGTCACTGGTTAGTTTTTAGTTTGATTAATGCCATTATGCGGTATAAAATGACCTTAATAACCATCAGTTTACTTGAAATATTTCATAATGTGCACTGTGTTCTAACAAAATGCTGAATGTTAAAGTTGTATCAGAGGAGACGGGTTTTTAATTCTGAGTCACAAATAACTATATATATATATATATATATATATATATATATATAGTAAATGATGAAAAGTCAAGACTTAAATAGCAGGTGCTGGCATCCTGTGGAGTAAATATTTGATAGACTATTTGCATTTTGAATCACCGGGCCGATTTGTGGAAAAGCTCCCAAGCCCCACTGAAAACCTACTGCAGCAGTCTAGGGCGATGTGGCCCTGCATTTTTAGCAATTGTCCCAAGTGAGTCTAATCACATTAAAACTTGAAAACCACTGCCTAGGACCAAGGGCATGAACGAGACACCATAATTTGTAGTTGGAATGCTCAAAATGTAAACATGTTCCCAAGGAGAATGTTTACAAATGTTAAAAATTCGTCATGTTCTATCCTCTCTGTTGGATGGCACTAAACTCTGAATAAAGGCATGTGTCTTTTTGTGATTAATTAATTAACTGGTTGACTGGCTCACTTGTTCGTTCATTGAACAGGTTATTGGGTATCATTTATGAGCTTGGCACTATCCTGTGCGGACCTTTTCTTGTTATGGGTAAGACAGCAATCAAATGGTTTCAAAGATATTCCTCACTTTATTTTTCACTTGAAAGATGTTCATGAGGTCTCCTTTGGGTATTGTTGGATGAGAAAATGAATGCATTCATGGGTCCTTTTGTACCATAAAAAAATTATTGTGTAACTATCACCAACTCTTTGTTACAAAGACATGACTGAAAAAAACCTTAGTCCTTTCCAGTATCTATAGATTTTAACAATTTTTTAAAATAACCCCTGAAAATAAACTGCTGCTTGGAAATTATGAAAAGGTATGCCAAAATCCCGAAACGGAGTTTTAAAAGCCTCATTTCAGTGACCAATATGTAAGAGGTTTGCTCCTTTTTAAAGACTACAATAAGACTGAATTTTACAGTATAGAAGGTATGCAGCTACAAGTCTCTGATTTACCCAAAAGGTACCCAAAAGGTATCAAATGAAGAATGGATAATAGGGATAGCGATACAAAGTTTATGCGTGTATTTTACATTTATGTATTTAATAAAATGTATATTTATATATTACAATTAATACAATATATTTAAATATACTTATTTAAAATGTTATATTTAAATAAAATTTCCAATAACTTATAAACTGGCATAAAAAGCAAAGAGACAACCTAAATGTCCCATAGAATGTTCTAATTTGGAGGCAATCTTACAGATTATCTCGTTCAATCCTCTAATATCATATATGTGGAAAATGAAGCTCAGAAGAGATGAGAAACTTGACCCAAGGCTACTCACCTAATTAGCAAAAACGCTAACACTAATTCTTGGATTCCTGTTGTTCAACATTTTTGGTAGCCTCACATCAGGTGCTATAAATAAGTCATCAGTTCTTCCGAACAGAAGAACCAGAAGGCTGATCATCTATGGGATCTTTAATTTCCTTATGGCCTGGGATCCCTGGGTGGCGCAGCGGTTTGGCGCTTGCCTTTGGCCCAGGGCGCGATCCTGGAGACCCGGGATCAAATCCCACGTCGGGCTCCCGGTGCATGGAGCCTGCTTCTCCCTCTGCCTGTGTCTCTGCCTCTCTCTCTCTCTCTCTCTCTGTGACTATCATAAGTAAATAAAAAAAAATTTTTTTAAAAATTTCCTTATGGCCTAACAATGTGCAGCAAAAAGAGAGAAAGAGGCGGCAAGAACAGGAGCCAATATTTAAACAAATTTAAACGTTTTTCACCTTAAAAGAATTCTTAAGAGAATTCAAACATGTACTTCTGAGTCCCATGAGGACAAAGTAGAGATTTAAACCCAAATAACTCGACATGTGACCAAGCGGCAAATAAGCGTGTGCACTTCTTGCCACACCATTTAAGTCCCAGTATGCCGGGCGATTAGCACCAGAGGGAAGAACCTGAAGATAGGAGTGTCTAAGATCTCAGGGCCGAGCAGAAAGACAGGCCCCTGAGCTTCCCACTGCAATATGCTAGCAGATTCTCACTGTGACACTAGAGCAGATCCTGTTAGCCAGAATGAGATAGGAAGCTGCCCTCCCACCAGCAAGCAGTTAGATAAGAGGAATTCGGGTTAAGAGGAAATGACAGTCATACAGCAGTAGCCACTTGTGAGCACAGCAGAAGACGACGGACAAAATACACAGAGGAGCTCCTCGCAGAAAAGAGAGAGAGAGAGAGAAAGAGAGAGAGAGAAGAAAAAAGAAACCCCAAACCAATGATAAAAGTACTCATTTTTAATTAACCATTATACAAAATATAACCAATTACAGACTACCTCAAACTGTGGGAAGCTTCGTTTCTAAGAGTTCTGACCACACAGCTCAGCCTTGTAAGAGATTTCAATAGAGAGTTGTAAGCTTCCTAAATATCGTCTCCTGTTTAATAACTAATTCATCAAAGTTCATCCCAGGTTGCCTGTTGGGTCCCCTTCAGTCAACAATCATGCATTGGGAACCCAGGGTGTGCTTCCAAAAGATCGGGGCAGGGGGAAGGTGAGTCACATATGAAGCATCCAGCAATTTTTAAATATTTACAATCTCCTAAACTTCCTCATAATTTATCTGCAAACAGCACTAGCTTGCTAATGAGCAAGTGCAACCGCACGATGACAAACCACCCACAAGTCCAAGTGCGTCTCTAGCACACAGCAGTCCTTGGTCCACGGGGAGCGTGCAACTAGGTCTCAAAGTCCTTTCTGAGTTCTCCGCATGGTGCTCTCTTCATTAGCAGCTTTTCCAAAAAGGTTCAGAAAGGTAAGAGCTCAAGCTAAACAAGCAAACAGAAACCCTAAAGAATTTAACAGAAGCCAGAAATTCTTGCTTCCTCTCTGAACTGTCACCTGTGTGGGGATGAGTTATATAGGGTTTCAAAACAGAGTCCTAAGTTCATACCGGACTGGAACATCCTTCCTACGACCTCAAGTAAGTTTTGCCACAACTTTGCCCCTAAATCTATTGCCCTGGGAGATGGAGTGAATGACAGTGTCTTCCTCAGAAGATTGTCTTGAAGACTGACTATGTGCTGCATGTGATGGGTTGAGGCCGAGTTTGCTAGAAAGTCAATACCCAATAAACGCCAACGACTGTTTCTGCCATCAGAAAAGGTGGTGGCAGTTCTAGTTGCGCTGAACTCTGGGATCCTCTGCAATGCATGTAGTGAAGCCCTATAAGCAAGAAAGCGGTGCTTGCCAAGTAAATTCCTGCGCAACTGATAAGTCATTAGTGTCAATTATGTTCATCACACAACAGCCTTATTTTGCCTCGTTCTCAGTCGTTACCAACACTCCAAACTTCTCAGCCCTAACTGTTGCCTCATCCTAACCGAGGGGAAAGAAGAAAGAGGCATTTTGCTCCTTAGTTGGACACGAATGCCTGGTTTTAGAGCTTCCACGGGCAGTAACGTTGCCGTGTTTTTCTTCAATCTACAGTTTACCGAATCCATTAATTTACAGCCACGCTGAAATTCTGAGCAACCACTTTGATGCCAGAATGAGATCTTTCACTTCTTTTTCATGCTGCAATAGCAAAGCACATCCATCTGATCATCCTTGACTCTAGAGCCCGATGCAGTTTCCAACTGAAAAACTTTCATCGGAGCACACACACTTCACCAGCGGAGCTGCCTTGCTATTCCAACCCAAATATTGTGAGGCCTGTGAGGAAATTTGCAATAATAAATTTTAAAATGCCTGATGCACAGTAACTGAGCAAACTGTTGTGAGAACAAGTGTCAGGGGAGGAACAGAATTTGTTCTCAAAAGAAGCAACACGAACAACGCACATCCAGGGAGCATTTGCTGTGTGCCAGACGTCGGTCTAACGCTTTGAGGAAAGGGCCATTATTATGTCCATTTTGAGGATGAGGAACGAAGATAAAACCAAGTTAAGGGGCAGCTGGGCCCCAAGGCCCGGGTCCCTAACCCCTGCTACACTATCCGGATGCTGTGGCTTTTATCAACATTCCATTTGTCAAATACAGCATACCTCGATCCTAGCAAAAGGCTCCAAATAGTCAACCCAAATATCTACTTCAAATTTTTTTTTTTTGGCCTTTATGGCCGTGGAAGAAATGAACCAACAGCATACTTTGAAACTCAGAATGGAGTCCATAGAGAAACCGGCTCATCGTTCCTACCTCAAGTCTGTCTGTCCGCATTAACTTCTGTGCGGCAGCTGCGGCAGCTGCAGGTACAGGGACCCCGGGATTCCCTGTGACCAACATTGGTGCGGTCGGCAAGATCTCTGCTGGAACCAGGCTTGGGGACACAGGTCCCAGGTAGGGATTAAAGGCTGCTGATGCATTGGTGGCTAAGCTTGGTGCAACTGAAAACATTGGCTGGAAGAAAAAAATAAAAAGCAGAAGTTTAATATACAAGTCTTGGCTTGCATTTGATATCCCACATTATATATCTACCCTCCATCCATCCATCATCCATCCATCCATCCATCCATCATCCATTCTTCCTTCTGTCCCTCCCTCCCTTCTTTCATTTAATTCTGTTTATTTACTCTCACTCAGGCTACGAATGTTTCTTAAATAAGCATTCATCAAGTCAATGTGTTTCTAAACTATTAATAGGTGATTTACTCGTTCAATTTTCTGCTGGGATTTTGAAACCCGGTGTCTATAATGCTTATAATTTCTTTTTGAATAACAGATCACTTATTCAATGCAGTCATTGCTTGTGGTCATCTAATCTCCATTTTTGTCCAGATTTAATCCTGGAAACTTATCTGAGAAATACACTTTATAATTGCTATGTCAGATGAACTTGAAAGATCTGTTTACAACTGTTAATGGGTTGCAAGTGTCCTATTATCTGGAATAAATAAAGCAGAACTCCCAGTGGGTAACAGAGTTTCGCAGTCAATATAAACTGTGAATAAATCTCAGGGGATATGTGAAAAGACGATGATGACACAATTTCTTTCGAACACATAAGGTAAAGTGTTTGGCATATTCACTTGCATGTTTTCCTAAAGAAACTATCAATATCGCACCAGCTTATCGCACCCTCGTGAAATACTTAACAAAGAATTTACCTTACTAGGGAGAAACCACCCCAAATGTGGAGCCTGAAACAGAAAACTTCGAAGCACGTGCTACATGCTTTTGCAAGGAAATACACATGGTGGCACCGAAAAAAATGCCCCAAGATCGAATTTCTGCCAGAAATGCTTTCATGGATATAGGAGGATGGTTCCTACCTGGGACACGAAGATTTGTGTATCGGGAAATGTATTTGTTCCTGAGTAGAACTAAATTATTTACCTGAAAGCTACTTTGGCAATTTGCTTTTCCCATTTTTTTTTAAAGCATAACGTAGCGCAACAATCTGCCACCTTATGGGTGGTATATTTTTAACTTCCATCATTCAATAGGGTTTCAATTCTTGAAGCCTAAGATTTTGTGCAATAATAGTGTTTGTCTCCAAAACCCACAAAGTCCTGGGCAAAATGAATCCTGTTCTTTAAAGGACTTTTTAACAATCAATTTTCTTTATTACCCTGTGATAAGGAACAGAATCACAGAAACTTTTTTTAGACTGAAGGGAACATCAGTATTGTAGCTAATCCTTTTCTCTTACAGAAATAAGAAGTTGGACGAACCCTGAGCTGACACAGTATTCAAGAGAGTTTTGGAATAAAGTTTTATGCACTTAAGATGTAACCGTAATTCTTAAGAGCTCAAAAGAAATAGCTTTAAAAAAAATAAAATGCGTTCTTATTTAGTATGGCCCTGCCTTGTCCTGTATTTAGAAGAGTAAAACGGAATTCAAGTATTCTTGTTCTCAAGTAGGTACGAGTAATTTTCCCTTGTAGGGCACATGTGGCAGTGTCTGGAGACATTTTTGACTGTCACAGCTTGGGGGTGCTGTTGCATCTAATGCATAGAGAGGCCAGGGATGCTGCTAAGTGGCCTGCAACACCCAGGACAGCCCCTTACAACAAAGAATGATCCTAGCCCCAAATGTCAATAGTGTTTAGGTTGAAAATCCCTGTCTTCAGGGATGCACTCGTCTTCTGACTTCACAAATTGTTTCAAGACAAAATCACTGCAGCTAGGGCATACATTCTTACTAAGAATAAGAAGACCATGCAAAATAGACCATTTCACACATAATTTGATTCACGTGGGAGAAGACACAATGCACCATACCTTCCACTGGCATTTTCAAGTCATAATTATGTCTCCAAACGTGTCGGTCTGAATACCATGGTGAGTCGTCCTGCCAGGCTGAGGGCTCCTGCCTGAGGAAGTGGCCTAAAGCTATACCTCGGACCCTCACCCCTCATCCCTGCCCAAAACACTGACAACACGGAGACTACCTGGGTGCTCCGGGTATGATCAATAATCAGTCCAAATCTAAGGCCCAGAGCAATCTCTGTCCATCGAGTTATTTAAATAGCAGCCGATTGTATGCTGCTCCACTGTCGACTGGCTGCCGAGGCATTGCCAGGACAAGGGCTGACCTCTCTCTCTCTCTCTCTCTCTCTCTCTTTTTTTTTTTTTAAAGAAAAGCATTTATTTTAAGAAAATAAGACCAGTGACCAATAAAATGCAGCTGTGTTAAATCTCATTGAATAAAATCAACTTGGAATCTATGATGCATATAATGTAGCAGTTGCATATCACAGCTAAAGGAAGACTCCTACTAAATAAAAAATATTGATCTTACTAACTGGCAACAGTTTTCCTGCTGGATTGCTTCTGTAGGGTTGTCGCGTGAATTGATTTTCTGACTTAAGGCAGCGGAGCAAATTTAAATCTGAAGTATTTTAGGGCCCTGTCCCCAGGTAAAATCTAGCAGCTTTGAAAATCTGAAACATCCAACTCTTCAGCAAGCGTTCTCTCAAACTGCTCCCTCTCCAGAGAAGTAGAGCTATTTGAGCGATCATAACAGCTCTGAACTTTGAAACTTGATTCCAAAAGCTGCCCACCCCCCAAAAGTGCAACATTCCTTCCTTTATTTTGAGTTTCTGTGAAGTTTGCTACATTCCTTCTGCAAAGAGCACCTTCCTGGAGGTGGGTCACCGCATGGCCCCATCAGTGCCCTAATCGGATTAGCGAGGTGCTTGGACGGCTGGGCTGCTGAGTCCATTCCAGAAAGCCATCCTGCCCAGGGTTCAGCAGAACGGCAAGGTCGGACGTTAATGCTATGGTATTAGCAAGTGCATCCTATTTTCTCCCAGGTATCTACAGGATAACATACAACGATGTCATCGGTGTAGTTGGTACCGACCACATCCCTGTAGAACGATTTACGGGTAATTCTCTTCCTGGAAGGCATAAGGCAGGTTGGCTTACGATCGCCTTTTGCCAGTGATCACCCTCCGCAGAGCAAAACCCAGTGCGATCTTACCAACACTGGCGCATTTATGGGCTAACCACTTGTTTGTTTTAAATGAGACACTTTGATTGCGTTAAAGCAATCAGGCTCTATTATAAATTAAAATGTTCTTCAATTTCACACGATGACCCTAGTTAAATGCGTGCAACCGTGGTTATTACCAGAATTCCTTCTGTTTGTTGTGTGCCGGGCATTGTGCTAAGCGCTTTACCTATGCTGTGGTATTTAGTTCTTGGAACAGGAAAATATAAACTCTGTGGGCAAACAAAGGCAGAAACTCCATTGTTTCTGTTTTGAGTTGGGGGGTGTGTGTGGATCATCTGTATAGTGCGATGCTGAATCCCCGGGATCTAGCTGGAGGATGCCCAGCATATAGTTAAGTACTCAATAAATAGATACTGAATAAGCGAATGCATGAATGAGTGAATGAATGAACTGCAGTCTCGTCAGGTGGTTTTTATTAATCCCTTCCATTTTGCAGACAAAGAAAAGGGCCCACTGAGATCCCGTGTCCATAATCACAAATGAGTGCATGAAAGACTTAGGATCCGGGCACAGGTGTGTCTGGCTCCAGGTGGTTCCAAGACCAGGGGTTCTCAGGGCAGCTGGCCGTGGGAATCCTCCGGAGAACTTCAGCCCCCCGAATGCCCTGGCACTCCCCACCCATCACAGGGTCGGCAGTACTATTTAGAAACCTCCTGGGTGATTCCAATTCCATACATTATGTGGTCTTTTACTCCTTAAACACAGAAACAGGGCCAGGCTTCTGGGCCTGTGTGAGGTCCCCAGAGAGACACGTGCCCTGGTGGCTCTTCTTCTGAGCACGGTGCGCCGTCTCCACTGCAGGCTGCTCCCGCCCAGCCCTCTGTTGCATTTCTAACCACGCTTCAAGAATCACGACTCTTGCTCATCAAAGTTTCCCCTGATCCGCCCCCATCTCCAAACTCTGAAGAGGTGTTTCCTACCCTCCGTTGCCATAGAACTCCTCAGCGCTCGAATTTGGGGTTGATCACCGCACGTGTTCACTTACCCCCCCCTCTCCTACGCAAACCTCTATGGCAGGGACGGCCTGGCGCGTCCTTCATCCTGCACCCCACCTGCTGCAGGCGTCTACGCAGCCTCCTGACTGCCTTAGCCGACGTGCTGCTTTCCTCCAGCACACAAACCAACTAGCAAATGCATTAAATAGTTTCTAGTATAGATATCTGAACAGTTTAAAAAAAAGAGAGAGAGATTTAATGTTACGGCCTCTCCGCCTGAAAATGTAATCATTAATTTGTCTAGTATTCTTGTTTGAAAACTGTAATTTCCTTTATTTTTGTTTTGCGGGTTTTCTTTCTTTTTTTTTAAAGATTTTATTTATTTATTCATGATAGACATAGAGAGAGAGACAGGCAGAGACACAGGCTCCATGCCGGGAGCCCAACGCAGGACTCGATCCCGGGACTCCAGGATCGTGCTCTGAGGCCAAAGGCAGACGCCAAACCGCTGAGCCACCCAGGGATCCCCATTTACACTGACCTCTCTCTCGGTTTCAGTAATGTGGCATTACCATGCTGTAATGTTGCAACTATCAGAGGGGCCCTAACTTATTTTAATACCTTATGTGAAACAGTGTCTGGCATACAATGTGTGTGATTTTTTTTTAAGAAATGAAGTACATATCATAAATAATATCTGATTAGTATTTGCTGAAATCGCTGGAATATAAATTCGGTCAGATTTTTCTAGATGTTACCTGTGTGTATGTGTGTAAAGGCTGAACTTGTAAGCGGTAAAAAATAGAGCTGCTTTTTTTTTTTTTTTTTTTTTTTTACTTGACAGCACATCATCAAAGCGTATGAAACCCTGTTTCTGGGTACGCACAACCCTGTACAAAAGCTACTAAAGTCCCTGTAAACAATGACTTTGAATATTAAACAGCCAAAAGCTAATGGGAGTCCTCAACAAATTCATATTACAATGTCTACACCCCCCCCCCAAGAAGGCAAGCATATAACTGGAATAAAATAAGAAATACTGTTTTATTTTTTTATTATTTTTTTAGTTTTTAGAAATACTGTTTTAAAGTCAGCTTCCAGACTGACCTGCTGCCTGGGCAAATCACAATGACCACCTAGCCTTATTTTTAATTTTACCTTATCCTTCAATCTGGTTTAACGGGAGTGACAAACAGAGAAGACTCACTCCCAGCCCACCAAGTAATAAGGTTATCAACCCATATGGTCTGGTCCCTAAGATGCGGGCCTGTCCTCCAGCTGCTTGAGGATGCGCAGGCTCCTTGCCTGAAGCAGGCCCTAGAAGGGCAGGTGGACGGAGCAGGACTCAGGATGATGGCCGTGGAAACATTTCACCACAAACGCTTTGTCATGAGGTGGCCTTATCCCAATCACTACTTGGGAAAAACTGGAGAGTAAAGCACTAAAAAAGCAGCTTAAGAATTTTAGGTGTTCCTGGAAATGTGACAGATGATGACTTGAGAGCTTTCAGAGCTCAACTGCCAACACCCACGACATGGGGACACCATGCTGCAAAGGTGAGGCAACACCAACAGCTATAAGCCCCCGAGACTTGTTAGCCAAGTCCAATAACTTTGAATTTCTTGGTCCCTAGGCTACTTCAAACCCATGAAAGGCACAGGAATTCAACTTGAGTCATGCACCCCGAGGCAGCCAGGTGTGTGGACCCTGAGGGCAGCTGCCACCAGAAATTACGGATGGCCCAAGCTAAGGCTTGGGAGCACGGGGAAAGGCGCGGAGTGCACGGAAGTGCAAAGCCCCAGATACAGCTCTTCACAACCTCGGCTTATGCAGAGCTCTTCAAGGACAAAGACAAAAGCCTGGAATCAACAGAATTGCTGAAGACATCTTTCTGGGATGGCTCAAAGAAATACACCAGCTGCTTCCAAGTTGTGAGCCACAAGAGATGGTCTATATTTGGTTAGGTTGTTTAGTTTTCTTGTTGGATTATCTTTGCACCAGATAGTGCGTAAAAATGTAATGATTTTTTTTTAAAGTAGTGCTTTTAAAAAAAAATCCAAAAATTCAATTTTAAAAATTTGGATAACCAAATATTATAGGTCCTCCATTTCTCTTCAAAAATCATATAATAAAGAGAAATATGATCTTTTTACAGTTTCATTAGGGGCTTAGAAATGATGATAGAACTAATGCCAGTTTTTTAAATAATTTATTTTGCAAGTTTTAGGGAGCAGACATGCAGGTAAATTCAATTACTTCCTTTCAACTACTTATTTTCTTAAGAAACGGAAATAATGATGACATTGTTAGGAACCTGCAGATAATATACTTGAAACTTTTCACTACATGGTAATGAAGGTCAGAGATGTTAAATGGATCAACCAAGGACCCAGAGCTGGTTGGTGGCTCGTCTCTCATTAGTGTTTCTGCAGCATGGATGCCAGAACCTGAACCACTTGGGTTAAAATCCAGGACCTGCTACGCACTAGCTATGTACCTTGGGCAAATCAGTTAACCTTTCTGAACCCCTGTTGTCTTTATCTCTAAAGGTGAGATAATAACATCAGCTTTATAGGGCGGTTGTGGGGATTTATGATACAAAAAGTAGAGAGCACAATAAATGCCCTTTGCCACCAAAGTGGAAGCCTTCTTTCTGGTTCCTGGCTTGGTGTATTTCATAACAACAGAATAAAGTCCACGAAAACAGTTAACTCTCCTATAAACCCCTGCATTCCCAAGTTGGCATGGTGTCATCTTCTGAAGACCTTAACTTTAGAGACCCAGCCTCTCCCAATTTTTGAGAGGATGCAAACCCAACTGAGTGGTATCGTAGCTCCTGCCTGGTCGCAGCACGACCCTCAGCAAGCCCCTGGCTGCCTCTGCTCAGAGTGTGCTCATATAGAACCAACTGTATGCCCCATTCTGTGCCGCAGTCTCTACACTGGGGCTTGTACTCTGATTCCTGCAGGTGATTCCTTGGGAATCACAGGGCCAGGTAAACCACCACAAACCTCTGCCTGTCTTCCTCGTGTTCAGGAAACTCCTTACTTCATTCATTCACTCATCAAGCAATTTCCGATATCGCTATATGCCAGGCATGATGGAGATGCTTCTCGATTTGATGAGTTTCTCTGCTACGTCTTCTCTTCGTGCTCCTTCACCTATGGCTTAGGGGCCACGCTGTTAGCCCTAAAGAACTCAGATGCTTCGCCACCTTGACTACAAACCCTGAGACTGCCCAGATACTCCTAACTACTCCTGAATGATGCATCCACTCACAGCATCGTCTCCTTTGCCAGAACCACCACCTGGGTTGGATCCACATGTGCACTCTGTCTTCAAACACTAACATCTGTACGAGTTACCTGGCTGCTGCTAGCCCGGTTACAACCCCTATCCGTTGACCCAGCATTCAAGTTCCAGTAAGCAGCTGGTTATGACCATCTCATTTATTTCTGAATCTCTGTATCGTTACCCTCATCAGCAGGGCTGACTACACAAAGGACTGAGAAGTCTCAGGTGGGGTTTTGAAGGCAAATTTCCTGGATTAAAGCCTTCTCTACAGTCATTAAAGCCCCAAATGCTTGAAAATTGAATAATTAAAATGACTTCTATACTTATTACAAAAACGTCACCCTGAACAGAGGGTATTTTTAGACTATGATCTCAGGATGCCTGTAGCAGAAGGGTAATTCTGCATTCAAATCTAGTCATACCAGGGGAAATTAGCATAAAGCCTGAATGTGCTCACAACTAATAAAAATAAATGTTTTTGTCAAAGCAGCGAATTTTCCCACAAAAGCACCAGAAAATGTGATTTGTCTGATGGTTTCAGAAATTGTGATTTCATGACTTCGGAAGCACAACATATGTGCGACTGTGTTTTTACAGACATGAGCATAAACACTGTTGACAGCCCGTCCCAGGGTCACTCATACGATGAGCCTGGCATGGCCTTGAGTAAAGCTCAAGGACTAGCTCAGGAGATGCGCCAAGACTTTGCAGTGAGGAGCTCAAAGCCGTGACCAGCACTGTTTTTGGCAGCGTGGGAATTCCACCTGCCAGTCACTGAGAAGGGAGATAGAGCCCGACCTTAAATGTTTAAGTGGAACAAAGTATCTCACATCAAGGAGAGATCCTATACCAGCTAACGGAGTAGCCACCCCAAAGATTTATCAGATCTCCGAAACTGTGTGACAGGGCCAGCTGTAAAAGAGACCTCGTGTCCTAGATCTTATGCTACGGAGAATGATTATAAACGAAACTTTTTTTTTTTTACCCAAATGGAAATCCTCACGCTATCCCAATGCAGATATAATATTAGCAGATGCCACGAAAATAAATGCAAGATATCATATTTTTAACCGAGCTCCCGATAACAGTTAAAAAAAATATAGATCAGGTTAAAACAGACACAGAATTATAACATTCTCTCACCTCAACTGTACAGTACTGACAATTGGTATCACTGCTGATGTGATATGGAGATCCCTCCCACCTCGAAATGCAATCCCCCCCTCTTTTTTGGAATGATTGGTGCATTAAGTTCTAAGAGAGAATAACAATTACATTGAGTTCAGGGGTTAAAATGTATCAGGAAAAAAAAATCAGTTAGCACACATGCTACAATTAGCGTATCAGAAAACTGTGGGTCTTCCCATTCCCATAACCCCACAATATTGCATATAAGTTAGTGACATAAATAACTGCCAGATATATTCTGATCACTGCAAATTTTAACATGCATTTAAATACTGAATTATAGTATCACAATTAACATCGGAACACTTTTTGTAATCTAAAATTGCTTATGATATCTTTCAATTTTATGAACAAATGTAAAGGTTATTGAAGTCACTTATCATACACACTCCCCCAAAGCCCAAATAAATAAATAAATAAATAAATAAATAAATAAATAAATAAATAAATAAGAAAGCAAGCTCAGAATCAAAAGTTACTCACATACACTGCTCGGTAAACCTTAGGTCTCTATGACCACCTACGGTTTAAATTATTTAGCTCTTTGCTTAAAAACCCTGGGAGTTTTTGCCCCTCCTGATTAGTTAGTTCTCTTTTAAGGAGATGTCCAAGGGCATGATATTGATTCGCCACTGTCAGAATTTTGCTAGCATCTGTAACTGCAGAGTAATTTCAGGTTGAGTTTGAAAGAATAAAAAGGCTCCTTTTCAATAAAGGAAGTGATGCAAATGGATTCTCTTCAAGAAAAGAGGAAAGGGGAAATTTTTCTCAAGATTAAAGATGCTCTATGCCAAATTTTGCAATTATTATTATTATTACCATTAAAGGGAGAAATGAAAATGCACATGGACTCTGTTGACGGGTTTTAACGGCTGCAAATCATAGGATTTAATGTGAAGAGCATTTTAGGGGGAACACACGCCCTCATGTAAATTTCCACATGATTTAGCAAGAAGATGAGTAACTTCACAGTGTGAAAACCTTTCCGAGCTTGCTTGGTAATGTTGCTAGAAAATGCTAGATACCTGACACTGTTACCTATGTTCACTTAATCCAGTGCAATCATTACTTTCACGCTGAAAATGAGCACTTGGAATTACAAACGTAATGAATGAGGAGCGAGCATGTGCTTACCACGGGTTGTAACGGGGCACCGGGCATCATGGCATTGGCTAGTTGCATTTGCTGGGCCAACATGGCCATGTTCTTCTGCTGAATCAAGTTATTGCGCCCATTTATCTCCAATTGCGTTTTTAAGTGTGGGGGTGGATGAAGATATTTGCAGTTCTCCCTGGAGCAACGACCCTAAAAAAAAAAAAAAACAAAGCAGAAAATACCATTTAAAAAAGATTAGACCAGCAAATCCTCAAAAAGAAGTGCACTGCAAACCCACCCCCTTGGATCTACCATGGGTTTCTAATGCACGGCCTTATCCATATCCATTTATAATACATTTAGAATTAAGTAATGATTTCACCCAAATGCATTATCAAAATGAGGTATTAAGACATTTGAAAAAGTCTTAAAAGCTTAAAGAAGTTCCCTTGTTTTATAGTAGCACTAATATTCCTAGGGCCAAGTTTAAAAATCTACCAACAGGCAGGGCAATATTAAAATAAAGACTATGAAATAAAGGATACTAGCTCCTTCCAAATCTTCTGGTTAACTTTACTGAACCCAAGAGAATCACGAAGTTGTAGCACCTAATTTTACTTGTACGGAGTTCCAAGGAAATGAACTTGGAGGATATGACCCAACAGCTATAAAATAGGAAATAGACATATTTACCCTCCAAAAGATTTTTAGTGTAACATGGAGAAACAAAGTAAGTTAGCATAAAGTAAGAAATGTGAATATACCCTTCCTTTTGGGATGGTTCTTTTCGTCGAAAATATATATTAAAGTCTGTAATATGAAATATTGTATTAGGGATTTATTTCATATTATTTCAATACTATCATCATCCCACAGTTTCCATATTATTTCACTATGTTCTCAAGTCTGTACAGTAACAGGTCTCATCAGTTATTACCTTGACAACTTCTTTCCCCAATACATCTAATCAGAACTGTTTGGGAGGGTCAGAGGAAGATTCCATTGAAGCCATCAACCACCTTCCTGAGCTTTCTTTGATTTTTCTAAGAAAAATCCATTTGCCATAATTTGACCTTATACTGTAAACTGACTCAGCATGCTTATGTTCGTGATAAAAAAAAAAAAATCTTGTCACAATCCTAACTTGAAAGATCTATTTCTGGCTTGTTTTGTTTCAGGTTTTTAGGAATAAGTTTCTGCAAAGGGATAATGTCATAGGCTAGCACCTTTCTTTCATTTTAGCAAGCTTTATGTAATAGAGCATCACTTCTAATACTTCAAAACTTCAAATCAGAAGGTGGCAAAAGACGGTCACCGATACCAAGGAACTGACAGGTTTCAAGGCCTGGGGTAGAGGCCTAGGGGTCTCCCATCAGCATCATGAGCTGCATTAAAAAACTCACTTCTTTAAGTCTCAGGCCTTTTATCCATTTCAAAATTGCTATGTAAGCTACACCATATGTTTATCACGAAGATCAGAGAAGATAATGTTTACGTCATGCCCCTGGCACTGAGTGTCATTCTGTGAGCAAGGTAAAGGTCAGGAGCTGCTACTGCCAACACCCCCCCCCCCCACCACCACCACCACTTTGATCGTATATCCAACAAAAGAAAAACAAAGTATTGGCATGAGGGGAACTTTTATAGTATCTCTTAGTGATGCCTATTGATATGCTCACAAAGTACCACTTATCTATGACTTACTCCGAATGAAACCCTGCTTGCTATCTGGGGAGGTCATGAGCATGTTATTAGCTTGAAAGCGTCTGGATGAAAAATAACTTTTACAGAAAAACAACACTAGGAGTCACAAGAGAAACCACCGAGCGCGGCTGGCCAACATAAATAAGCTCAAGGATAACCACATGGTCTGATTTCAGGACTATCCAGTTGAGATGTCCTAGAGAAAACCGCCTTTCTCAGGACAAAGAACAACTTGGCTCTAAGAGAAATTCTGGATCTCAGTACCTCCACATCGTATCTTACTAACACTGGATCTGTTTAAGTGAAGGGAAGGCTTGCCCCCCTGAGAATCCAGGTACTGTCAATACACCCAGATCAGCTTCTCTAGCTCCAACAATCGCACAGAGACAGCTCTGGGCCCTGAACGAGGCCTGGCCAACACCAACACTGATCTTCCTGAGCTATTCACGCGACTGCCTCCCTTAACACAAACCACCCAGGCCCTCCTCCCCGTGAACGCAGCTCAGATTGAAATAATGGAGACAAATCACAGGCGCCTTCTATAGATTCTGTGTCAGATCCTGTCAAACCTTTTAATATGAAGCTCAGACCTTTGGTCTCTGTTTGGTATTTACCGCACTCATTCAGGAAAGATGCCATTCTACTACATTCCTTACATATGCTACCTTTCTATGCACGGCTTGATGTGATCGCACTGAAACTGCACCTTCAAAAAGCTACGTTCCTAAGCATATTTAGTGAAAAAGTAGGCAGACGAGCAGGCCTCTTCCACACAGTCTGTGGTGACAGATCTGGGGGGCTCAGGGATCTGCATTTTAATAGTATTCCAGATTATTCTGAAATAGCAAAAACAAAAAAAAAAAAAACAAAAAAAGACTATAAAACACAATTCTGCAAAGACATGTAAATTTTTCATTGATATGTGTGTATGTGTGGGGGGAAACTAGAGTAGCCTCTGCAATTGATGTTAGATAAACTCAGCTTCCCAGGGAGTTCAAAACGTGTTTAGTGCTGACTATGCTGCTGAATAATTGTGGTTTGACAAATAAAAAGGTCAAGAAAAAGTTAGAATAAACATCCTCTTCTAGAGGACTGCCTTAAAACCCTGGGGCAAATCACCAGCAACGCACCTTCTTTAAGAGGTAAGGTGAACACGCCGCTGGTATCTCTCGAAGGTCATCCCACCTTTGAGTTCCCAGGACCACCCCTCAATACGCGCTTGCAAACTCAATGGACACCTCCTAATAAATCCTGAAAGACGAATTCCACTCTAACTCTACTCTGGACACAAGGAGAATAATAGAATGAGCACTAACTCTAATACCAAACTTTGCTTCTGAGTTGTACTAACTGATGCTTTTATTCTGAGGCCAGTAACCGAACACCCGATAAAAGGAGAAAAGGTAACAGAAGGTTTAGAAGTTGCATCAGGGAAGAAACAAGATTTGTGTAGAGATTCAATGTGTTTGCCATCCCAGTATCTATCCAGTGACAACACATTCTAAAAATCTAAGAACAGAAATCTGGTCACTATCTAGCGCTCGCATATGCAAATCTATATAGAGGAACTATATCCTAAATCATCCTGAGATTTCGCTTCAAGATACACTAAATTGGGCTGCTAGGATTAATGCTAAAATGTAAATATAAAGTAGTCTCTGTTCCATTTTGAGTGCTCCATGCCGTTCGACCTATGGCCATGTAATTGTACATTTTATCCGACACAGCTTGGTCCAAAGAACAGAATAGCAGCTTTGTTATTTACTTGTTGTGTGATCCTATGGGAGTTAAATTCTCTGAGTGGCCGTAACTTTCTGTAGACTAGCAACAATACCACTGATCTCATTGCTGATGTGTCCGGCTTGAGCAAGCTAGAGGGCCAACTTCATACAGGGTAGGGTTCCTAAAAGAACAGGCTGTCAATCTATGTTGTTATTTTTCTTTCTTTCCTTAGGGTCTCAAGCTAATAGCAAACAACAGTTGCCCAATTTAGCACTGTATCTGTTAAAAGTACTAAAAATAATGCAAATAGCAAAACCCAGTGACAACGCAAGTCAATCATCAACAATGTAAGCTTGGCCCTTAATCATCATTCTGTATTGGCCACATCCACTACAGAAGATGCCATTCTAGCACATTTCTTATAGTGTTATGTTGCTGTGGTTTGTTTTTGTTGATGGCACTGACACTTACTGTCAGTGAGCTGCCCAACTAACCAGAGTCTGTACCATAAATACCTTTGATGCCAAAGAGGCTATTTAGAAGTTAACTTGAACACAGATTTCAAAGACATCATTGTAATATACATACTATGTATTTTAAGGGAATGGAGGAAGTTCAGTGAAGTATCAATTCAGACTAAGTTCATTTTTCTCCAGTAATTTTTCTACAGCTTTACATTAAAAGTAATCTTTCCAAAAAAGTCAAAATGTTCCCCTGGTAGTCTTAAAAACCTGTATGAGACCGATAACGGTCACTCAAGAGATCAACTCATCAAGACTTTAATTTCTGAAGTTATATACTATTCAACTGTGAATTTAAGGATTTTTCTCATTAGCTTTTGAAATGGGCACAAGTTTGTGAATGTAACAAAGGAGAATGTATGTTTGGATTAACTATGTGAGCTTCAAAATAAGCACCTGGTTAATTTTTGAACATTGTAGTTTAATAAAGAGCACTTTTTAAATTTTTATTTTAAAATTTTATTTATTTATTTGAGAGAGAAGGAGAGAACGAGCAGAGGGGAAGGGACTCCCCACTGGGCAGGGAGCCCAATGAGAGGCTAGATCCCAAGACTGTGAGATTAAGACCTGAGCCTAAGGCAGACACTTAAGCAACTGAGGCACCCGCGTGCCCCAATAAGGTGCACTTCTAAGTAATTAATAATAGAAGCATATATAGTACATATTTAAAAATGATGAGTATGTATATACACTATATGGTATATATACACCATATGATGTATAATGGGATATAAATTGTAAAGATAAAACTGAATAGAACTACAGTTGGCAATTTAGAGATATGAGAAAATGGTCTTTTAGCTATTTTTAATATTCAAGAACTAGCTAACAATAAAAAATGAAACATCTTAGATATCGGTGAAACTCAATAAAAAATCAAAATTCTGTTTGAAAACTAGAGAAACTAACCTCTCATTTTTAACTATAATTCATCTACCTAAAATAAAAGGCATATAGTGATTTATGAGATCAGAATGTAAAAAGACACCTGAGGCACCTGAGGGGCTCAGTAGGTTAAGCAGCTGCCTTCAGCTCAGGTCATGATCCTGGGAGAAAGCCTGACATGGGGCTCCCAGCTCCGCTGAGGAATCTGCTTCTCCCTCTCCTTCTGCCCTTCTCATGCTCGGTCTCTCTCTCTCTCTCTCTCTCTCTCTCTCTCTCAAATAAATACAATCTTTTAAAAAAAGAATGTAAAAAGACATTAAGCTGCCAAATAGTAACTATGTGATAGAATTAAAATTATTGGGTCACATCTGGGTAGAC